CCTATTAGCAGTGTGGTTCTGTTAGCAGTGTGGTCCTGTAAGCAGCATGGTACTGTGTGCTTTTGTTAGCAGTGTGGTTCTGTTAGCAGCATAGCCCTATTAGCAGAGTGGTTCTGTTGGCAGTGAATTTCTCTTAGCAACCTTTTCCTGTTAGCAGCATGGTACTGTTAGCAGTGTGATTCTGTTAGCGTTGTGATCTTGTTAGCAGTGCGGTCCTGTTAGCAGCATGATGATAATTATGACCGCAGCAACAGACAATGACTGCCCTCCAGAATCGGGTCCGGCAGACACAGAACATCTAAAGTTTTCCCTGAGGAACCCAACAGGGCCACTCATCTCACACTCACACTCTCACCTAGGGACAATTTAGTTTTCAGTCAACCTAACATGAATCTTTTCATCCTGTGGGACAAAACAAACATTCTATAGGATTATGATCAGAAGTCCTTTAGAGGGCCTGCATGCAGCAGAGATAACACCTCTGCCCTTTGTTTTCTCCTCCTGCTCCCACCAGTCTCCTTATCTGCTGCTTTTATGAAATTCCTTCTCGCTCTTCACTCTGGCTGCTCAGCTTCTTTCACCAAGGCCATAATACAAAGCACATGGCTGCATGGAATCATCTAGAGACTCAGAGCAGACGGCTTTACAGTCATTCACGTGCAAGAGTCTGTGGCTCTTCATGGTCGACTTTTATAGCAGCCACGCTGGCGCACACGCCAACACATTTTGTCCAGCTGCTGTGGGACTAAAACCTGGGGCAAATAAGGAAACTCTCGCTTATTGTCCACTTCATGGGGCACTCACAAGAAGACGAATGATGCTCATTGTAAAATCCTGCAGTTGTGCAAGTTCTAAACAATTAAAATGTATGAAGTTTGGCAGAAATAGTCCCACATCCTGTTTCTGCTTAAATCTTTATTAACAACACACCAACAAATAAACGGAGCGCTGAGCAGTGATTCATCTGAGACCAGAAGACGTTAGTTTGCTTTGAACGGTTCGTATAAATCAGCCTGACTGATGTGAACATAAATAAACAGAAGGCAAAGAGACAGGGCTTCACCGGTCTGCTTGGAATGGCATGGGAATACAGGCGTACTGCCTAAAATCGGGCCGGGTCGAGGAACTGCAGGTCAGGACGGGAATTTCTCAGAAGTTGAGAGAATTTCCTACATTTGTTGTAAACTCTGATGTGTGGGAGGCTGATGGGAGGATGTCAGACAGCTTAGTACATGTCAAAAAGCACGCTTACTTAGAGTTTACCCAATGCTGACCTCATTAATTTACAGCTTATTTGAATTCTTTGTGAGTGATTTCATCAAAGATATTTCATATTTGTACTGGTGAGTTACAAGGTTAACGTACAAGCTACCAATGAAACTTAGAAACAAATGTGGTTTTGGAAAGAAACGTATCATTTCGGTTATCTTTCTGAGTTCCCGTCACAATAAACGTTGGGTTGACAGAAAAACCACCCAAGACTTAGTAAAAACATCTAAACTAGATCACAAATAATCTGTCTGTTAGTAAAATATCATACAAACTACTGTACTTGAACAACGTCGTACTCATTAGATGAGCATCTATGAAGAATTAACATTTAGAGTTTATCCAATTTAAGACGGCCGTCACAGCCAACAGAGCTTTGAACACACAAAGATGGTCATAACTCCTAATTTACAGAAAATGAGCTGAAGTTTGGTGAGGTAGTAGCCGAGAGTCATTCAACAACACATACTGTGAGAGCTAACACATCTGGCAAGATGTAACAAGATCAGATGAGATTATTATTTACGACGTATGACCAAAACGACTATAACTTCAATCTCATCATACTTGTTTCAGCTATTTTCAGCTAATTTCAGCAGGTTTTTTCAGCTGTTTTGTTCTCCTCTCAAATTATTTCTGCTAACTACAGCATTTTTGTGCTTCTTCTAAATTATTTCTGCTAATTCCAGCTTTTCAGCTTAATTATGCTAGTTTCAGCATTTTCTGCTATTTCAGCTCCTTCAAGCTAATTTTAGCTTATTCAGCTAATTCCACATTTTTTGCACTCATTTCAACTTTTTTCAGCCCAGTTGAACAAAAATCTGCTCTCTCTGCTTCCTTCTTGTATTTCAGCTTCTTTCTGCTTTTTAGTCCAAAAAAGTTCAATCTGGTCCTCTGGACATTAAAAAAAAAACCATTAGCTTTTTAGCTACTTTTCAGCTGTTTATTTAGCTAATTTAAGCATTTTTCAGATAATTTCCACTTTTTTATGCTCATTTCTGTGTCTTTCATACTAATTGTGTTTTTTCTGTTAATTTAAGCTTGTTCTACCTTTTCAGCTACCTTTTTAGCATTTTTAGCTAATTACAGTCATTTTCAGATACATTCAAATTTTTGTAGTAATTTCTGCTGCGTTCTGGCTAATTAAGTTCTTTATGCTAATTTCAGCTTGTTATACTTGTTTCAGCTTTTTTCCTGCCAGTTTCTGCTATTTCAGCTACTATTTTAGCTGTTTTATGCTACGTTTGCTTTTTCAGATAATTCTGCATTTTTTAAACTCATTTCAGCTCTTTCTGCTTCATTCTAGGAGTTTAAGCTTCTTTTTGCCTTTTCAGTTACTTTTCGGCAATTTTTTTTCTAATTTCAGCTTTTTTAGTTAATTTCCTAATTTGTGCGCTAATTTCTGCATATTTAAACCTAATTCAGAAAATATGTGTTCTTTCTGCATTCTTATGCTACCTTAGACTAGTTCTTCATTTCAGCATGTTTTTAGCTAATTTCAGCTGTTTTTCTGCAAGTTCTTCTAGAATAAACATTCACGCTGAATTTTTGCAGGAACTGTAATTTTTCTAGTTTTATTTGAAACTCTGGCATGAAATGCGATTTGCATTCTTTTAAGGAATGCGGGGTCTTTAGTTTAGTTTTTAGGAAATGTATTTGTGGTTTTAGGGCTTTAGAGATTGACCAAAGGCTTCTGAGTGTGTTTTAAAGGACGAGGCAGTTACCGTACACATTATTTACATAAATTACACAAACATATTTGACTTTCCTTTATACTGATAAACTTAAGTACTCTCCTTTGATTTCATCGTGGTGTACTTATTTAACTTTAACTGACATAGTTCAGACTGCATGATTGATGCATTTATGTGTATTTGACAAAGCTAGGTGTTATTAGAAATTAAATTGTTTAAATTATGATGGATTTTGTGGTAATTGTTGTATTTTGAATTACACTGCGATCTTTTCAGTCCCATGGGAGGCGCATTTCTTGGCTGTTCAGACTTTTGATTGATCAGCAATCAAATAAAACACAAGTATGAAATGATACCACATATCAGGCTTGTTTTCAGTGAATTGATGTGAATGCGTTTGCCAGTTTAATTTCTTTGTTTAAACAAAAACCACAGATTTATTTTAATTTAGTGCTTTTATTGTTGTTACAAAGGTCCTTTTCCCTCATTTTTTATCTGATGGCGAGCTTTCTACGTTGGACTTGACGTCTTTGCTCTGTGACACCAGTTTGCCGTCAACCAAATGCTGAGTGATCGTCACCACGTTGGTCTGGATCTTCTTCGAATCAAGGGCATCCTCCAATCTGTTAGAAGAATAAAAAAAAACGTAAAACTGAGTTTACACACTGGAAGGGAATTGTTTGTCTTTTAAATTCACACAAAAACATTTATTGTTTCTAAGTTCTCACCTGTCGACACACCAGTCACTTTTCTTTTTTCTTTTCAAAGCTACTCTACGTTTGCATGAAGCTTATTTGAATCAGATATGCAAAGCTCTGTCTGGGGTGAACAAAATGCTCATACATCAACGAGCACGATGTCATACATCAAACTTTGAGCTAGAAGGCAAAGCCAATGGCTCGTTTACATCTTGATCTCTTAATTCCTCACTTTACTTTCCATCATACTCACTTCAGGTCCCCTCCGCCGTCCAGCAGCCTCCTGTACTCGGCGATCTCGGCCTCCAGCTTCACCTTGATGTTCAGCAGGAGCTCGTACTCTCTGGTGTTGTGCTGGATGTCGGTGCGGATCAGAGTTAACTCGTCCTGCAGCCTCATGAGGACGGCGTTGTACTTCTCCATCTCTATGTTGTAACGCATCTCAATGTCGCGCAGGGTGGCTTCCAGGGATGCTTTCTGCCAAGACAGTGACCACAGAGACGTTTACTGACGTTCTCTGATGCTGAAAGATATGGCCTACTGCAGAAGATCGTTTTGTATCATGCACATGTGACGCTACAGTTAGCGCTGTAGCTTAGCATAGCATTAGCAGCACAGGAGAAGCATTAGCCATAAAAATATTTTTACCAGATTGAGTACAGATTGAAGTTCAATATCAAGCGCCTGATGCCTCCTCCTAGTTTCACTGATCACACTCGTGGCCTCCTTTAGAGCCGTTGAGCTTTCCGTGACTTGCACCTGCACCTCTGTGATCTACAAACAAGCAACAATTATTAAAATGTGTGGAAGACGTGAACACAAACAATCTGGTGTCCATTTATGTTTACCCAGCTGAGCTCTGTCGTACCTGAGATTCATGCCATACTTTCAGTTCCTCTTGGTTCTTAAGTGCAATCCTCTCGTACTTAGCCCTCATTTCCTCCATGATCTTGGCCAGGTCCTGGCCTTTAGGAGCATCCACATCCACATGGACGCCCACCTGGGTAATTTGGGTGCGCAACTCAACAACATCCTGTCGAGAAGGAAACAGTCAGGGAGGGATTTCCTGAAAGGTTGGAGGGCTTATCCCATTCAAAGAGGTTAAGACACAAACAAGTTGCCAAAGTGTTTGGTTCTATTGCTGTCAAAAGCATAGTGCAAATCAGGCTCCTACAGTGTTTAGTGTCTAGATTGGACGAAACATCAACATACCGCCTCATGGTTTTTCTTCAAGGTGATCAGCTCTTCCTTTAGAGACTCAATGTCCCCTTCAAGGTGCAGACGTATAACGTTGGTGTCATCCAGGATCTTCCTCAGTCTGGCAACATCGGCCTCCACCATCTGCCGCATTGACATCTCATACTCCATCCTATAAACGTATACCTTCCATCAGATAGGGGCATAGTGGGTGGAAGAAAGTATTTGCTTTTACTGCTGAAAACTCACTTGGATTTGAAGTCTTCTGAAGCCAACTGCGCATTGTCAAGAGCAATCCCAAGGTGGGCGTTGCCCTTGAGCATGTCAAAGATCTGAAATGAATGAAACAGCGCAATAAGCTTTGTTTGTTGATTTAGTAAAAAGTTTTAATGTTATTGATTTTGATGCATTAAAAAAGTGAGACATAAAACAGGTTGGTAAACTGGTCAGGTAAAACTACGATGAGTGGTAATTTTCTTTGGTCACTGCTCAAGAGCATGGAGATAAATATCAGACTACGGGTAATAAATGTTGGGGAATCATTAAAGACGTGGGAGTCCTGCAGCGCAGAAAGTCTTTCATCCTGGAATGACTTTTGCTCCTACTTTCTGAGACATTCGATAGCGAACAAAGTTCAACCGACGTGCCGTTTTCGGGCCTTACCTTTTCATACCTAGTATTTTTTCAGAAACAACTAAACTATAGTTCTTGTGGTGTGGTTTTTATTCTTTAACCTGATTTATTTTATGTTTTTTTTTTGTTACAGGTTGACCTGGTTTAATAAAGTTACACCTAAAAGTTTGGTTTAACCCATTGATCCTCAGTTTTTGGACGTCCTTGAGTAAGGCGCCAATATTTGTTTGTCCATTTGAAGGAACGAGAAGTATATTGTGAAGTGCTTTGTAAAATCTGCAATATTCCAAAAATTAATATAAAGTGTGGATTATTCATTGTTTTTCTTGAAGGTCCTATGAGGGATTTATTGGCTTACCTTGGCCCTCAGATCTGCAATGACGGCGTTGTACTTGCTGTAGTCCCTTTCTTCCAAGGGGCCCCTCTTCTCGATGGTCTCTCTGATCTTGATTTCCAGGGTTTTGTTGGCCTTCTCCAGACTCCTCACCGTCTCCAGGTAGCTGGCCAGACGGTCGTTCAGATGTTGCATGGCGACCTTCTCGTTTCCAATGGCTAAGGCACCAGTAGCTGCCCCGGAAGACTGGTAGTCAAAACTCCCACCGAAGCTGCTGCCAACCCGGGTGCCATAGGAGGAGGTGGAGATCCTGGTCCCGTGGCCCCCTGCCCCACCGCTGACACTGTAGGCATAGGACTTGTCCACCTGCAGAGGTCTACCGGAGTAACTGGAGGACCCAGCGTACCCAGAGTACCCAGAGAAACCAGTCGTTTGAGAGCTCTGGCGTCTGATCAGGGGCTCCATGTTGGAAAGACGTGCACTGATCAGTCGGAGGTGAAAGCGTACGGAACAGGAGTTAACAGCTGAGAGTGGAGGAGATGAGAGGTGGTTTGGGGTTTTTATATACATCGCTGAGCACCAATACTCATTCCTGCCACTCCTTTCCTATCTTTATGGCATTTTTATCTTTATCACTTTTGCTCAAACTTTGTACCCTCTTGTTCTTTCAAAGGCAAACAGATGTGCTGACCAGTTCATTTTCACACTGTGCAGTAAAGAAACTGTACCTATGGCAAGTGAAAAGGAAAAACAGAGGAACGATTATTGGCAGACATGATTCCTATTTCACGTTTTCAATGAAATCATTAAAACAACCGACACATGATTGATTGACTTGAATAATAAGATTGAATAAACGTTTATATTAATTTATTTACAAAGCTGTATTTTTTCATTGTGTAACATAAGCAAATAGGCTCAATTTACCATAATTTCTGGACTATTGAGCGCACCCGAATATAAGCCACGCCCACTAAATTTAAACAAACAAAAAAATCTGTACACACATGGGCCGCGCTTGTCTATAAGTTGCAGGTGTCCACGTTGTAACATGAGATATTTACACTGAAATACTTTTTTTAAACTTTAAATTAAATATGTACCGATAACACACAAATATGTACGTATATGTTTTTATGAACAGTGCTTGTAACACGGTTGATTAAAAAATAAAATAAAAATACAGTGGCCTACCAGGAAAAGTCACTGATCATAAATCTGAGACGGTCCACCTTTAAAATCTTTATTTTTTTCCGGTAGTCTGATCAAACTTTATTCATTCAACAAGACTGAGGCCACTAGTCTGGATTTATTTTTGTAAAGGAATTTTTTTTAATTCGTTTTGATTTTTTTTTCCTTTGTCCACACTACAAGAGTGCCTCCAGATGTTTAACTGGTATGAGGATGGGCACAGTGGTTTATTTTAAGCCTAAAGTATTGCTGCAAGTTCGTGGGCAATTGAAAAAGCACAAAAATACTTTTGTAGAAGTGCCCAGCTATTTTGGGAAAATTTTCCTTCAATAAAACACAACTCCATGTGAGTGTGTATTAAAAAAGGCCCTTTGCTTAAAAAGGGTGGGTTTGATACACATTACTGCACCATTAGTCAGTGGAGAATGGGTGAAAAACTGGTTTTAATACAGACAAGATGTTTCCTTTAAAGTGAAGGCTCCAACTGAAAATGTAAGACGGATTTTGGGTTTGTTGCTTTAGGCACCGGTGAAATAGAATCAGGACAAAGAGATGTGGTAACAATAAGCTCTATCAGGAACAACAACCCTTCACACCGGTCATAAAAAAAATTACAGTTTCAGGTTTTTCAATATGTTTTATGCGAACAATAACTTTTTTGATCATAATTCAACAATCCAATGGGAAACTGTAAAAACCCTGAGGTATAAATGAACCTTCCTGGAATTGTTTGAAGTGAGTTTTTGCTCCACAAAGCTGCACAATATTAGTTCTTTTATTTTACACACTAAAAACTCATGGGTTCTTTTGGTAACTCAGTTGCTGGGTTAAAACCGTTGGTTGGTTTGGGTCAAACGTTTGACCAAGTGATGGGGTCGAAGGTGAAGTAAAGTGCGGTGGATCGTCATCGTTGTATTTCTTTCAACCTTTATTTCTACCGGTATATCCCATTGATCCTCGAGGACTCATTTACAAGAGAGACCTGATTTCAACAAAGAATGATGACAACAATGAAACAAGCAGACCTTTAAAAAATAGTTTGGACATACTGAAGTAAGACTTGGGTGTCCCCATTAATAAGTAGTATCTTACCTGTTGCAGATAGCTCTTTGGAAGCCCAGAACATTTAGCTAAAAATAAATTCAGTTCAGTTTCACAGTAAGGGGGCCCTTACTGCTTTATAAATAGGTTATTGTTTGTAAACACTTTATAAGCATTAACAATCATTTATCTTAAAAATATACATATTTACCATATTTTTCGGACTACGTTCTCTGCATGTGACCCATCATCACACATGTGGGATGTGACCAAGTATCTGAGGTGACTCGCATGTGCAGTAGAAAATGTGACGTCACGCGCTGCGTGCTGGGGTTAAGGAAGTAAAGATGCTACTCATGTTAGCATGTGTGATTCTGAAGCTGTTGAGCATTCAGAACCAATTAAATGATTATCTGGCAGGCTTGTGTGGTCCAGTGTTTACATTTAATTTAGCCTCAATGGCTTCTCTGAAGCAGCGTTGTATTTCTGGAACAGGAGCGACGCACTGAAGGTAAAAACAAACTCAAGTATCGATCCCATCACGTTAGTATCGATATGGTCCAACACCGACGCTGGTATCATATGTTGCAGTAGATTCTCAGTCATCCAGGACACGACTAACTAAAAGAATAAATACAAAGCAACTGGACTTCTGTTCTGTAGCTGAAGACGTGTGGAGTTCCAAGATTGAAGCTGCTGACGTTGATATCATCAATATTAATACTGATCGATCTGCTTAACTCCACCTCACTGACATACATGTCAGATGAAATGCGACATGACCGCTGAGGTCGAATTTGAAAAACACCCGATTCAGAACCACTCATGAAAAATGCCTGAATCGGATAAAAAAAAAAATCAGATTTGTCACGTTCAGACTGTCATTTAAAAAAAAAAAAAAAATCCAACATGGGTTGCATAGAGGCAAAAAATAAAAATCAGATTTGGGCTGCGGGTGGTGCAGTTGGTAGAGCTGCCACTTCTCAGCAAGCAGGTCGCTGGTTCAAATCCCAGCCGGGGGCCTTTCTGAGTGGAGTTTGCATGTTCTCTCAGTGCATGTGTGGGTTTCCTCCCACAGACCAAAAACATGCATGTTACACTGATTGGTAACTCTAAATTATCCCTAGGTGAGAGTGAGAGAGTGAATGGTTGTTTGTCTCTATGTGTCCCTGTGATGGACTGGAGACCTGTCTAGGGTGTCCCCCGCCTCTCACACAGTGACTGCATATGGGCACAAGTGACCCCTGCGACCCAAAAAGGAAGAAACGGATAAAGATAATGGATGGTTGGATTTGGGCCACATTTTCCTGCAGCGTGAACGTAGTTTTAGACCGTTTAGACAGTAGTCCCTCGTTTATCGTGGGGGGTCTGTACCCTGAAGCCCCGCGATAAGTGAAAAACTGCAAAGTAGGAATAGTACAAGTAGTAAATAGTAGTTTATTTTAATATTCATTTATGTATTTATATATTAAGGCATTTTAAACTCTTCCCACACTCTTGCAATATTCTAAACAATGTTTCTAAACCCTCTAAAAGAGCACAGTGTAATGATTTCTGCTCTCTGCCTTGGCTGCTCTCGGCCACGCCCACTTCTCTGTGGCAGAGCGGAGATCAGCTGATCAGCTGCAAGAGGGAGCTCCGGGCTGGATAAAGATGCAGCAGGTGCTAAATAATTAAAATAATTAATTAAAAATAAAGAAATCCATGCTGATCGTGCGGCTCATCCATCAGTCAGCCAATTGTGCGTCATGTCCAATCTTACTTTGAAAAACCGCGAAAGAGCAAATCCGTGAAAAACGAAGAAGCGAGGGACTACAGTATAATAAAGGGAAGGCGGTAAAAACGACACGTAAGATTTACCTGGTTGGCTTTGTTGGCTTTAGTTTGCTCTCGGCAGCGAGTTTGGGATCCTCAAAAAGCTTCAGCAACCCAAGTTGTAAATGTCTTTTAATAGATTTTTTTATTTTTTATTTTTTTATGTAGCTCTAATTCAACAAATTGGTCAACTGAACCAGTTTTTGGGTCTAAAACATGATCCAGTATGGGGATCAGAACTGTGTGGGGTTGGCCCAGTCCAAATTTGATCCCGATTGGTTTGTTTTTAACCCAGCATTTTATAGTGTGTGCAATTATTCATAAAGTCAAAGATCATCAACAAACAATCAGATGTAAGGCTTATTATAGTCAGGAGTTCCCATCTGGATACATTTTGACAGTTTTGTGCAAAACTGCAACATCTGGTAATGATCGGATACTAGGTGAAGACAGAACCAGTACCACTGGTGCTGACCCGATCCGATACTTTTAACTTAAGGAGAGAGCAGTGTGCCGTGTTTTAAAATCAATCTGCTGAATCTGAATGTTCAGAAAGATTAAACAACCAATTTTTACTTTCCACTGTTAAATAATCATTTATTTGAATTTTAAAGCCCAAAAGGTTTCGAGGAAAATAAAATCAGTTTATCACTGTAAGTAATCAAATTACCAGAAATTAAATCCTTGCAAAGTAGAGAATGAACGTTATCAAATTCATATTCTTGTTTTTGTTCAGAATTAATCCAATAATATATTTTTTACTTTCATTGCTTTCTTTAGAGGGCACACATGAATGAAAATTAAATGTTAGAACCTAAATCTGTTGTTTCCTCTACTTTAGAAAAACAAACTATCGTTTAGTATTGATCCAATACCAATACCAATACCAGCCCTGGAAGCATTAATAATAATATCTTGATCGATCCGCCTTAATTTTTCACATCACGTGACAAATTAAATCACAGTTTGAAGCAGGACACTGTTTGAAAAGCAGATCTTTTTGTGTCAAAAAAGATTTATTGAAACGTTTTATCACAGCACAGCAGGCAGACTGAACTGGAGCGAAAGGAAAACCAAAGACGTAAAAAAAATAAAAAAATACTTTGAATTTTTTAAACTTTGAAATGCGTTAAAAAAAAAAAAAAAGACAGTCCTCCAATTTTAATCTCTTGTAAACTACAGGCCGGCAAACAATGACATAAATAAACTACGATGAAATAAATAACAGACGGTTTTGTTTTCCTGTTGAAATCAGCCTCTGCAGCGAACTTTAAGGGTTAATCCTGTTTGGCTAAAACCTAAGAGGAACTTACAGTAAGTAAAAATTAATTATTTTCTGTGTTTACTGCTCAGAACGTCAGTCGGCTGCTGGTTGTGTTTAGTAGTCTTTGGTTTCGGTGCTGGAGGAGACCACCTTCCCGTCCACCAGGGTCTGCGTGACGGTCATCACTTTGGTCTTCTGCACCACCGTTTTCTGCTCCTCCAAAGCGTCCTGAATCCTACGAGGAAAACATTTTACGTTTTTGTTTTTTTTTTCCTGCAGGATGTGAAACTATGAAACACAAGGATCTATAAACTCCCACTCACTTGAAGTCTTCGCCATCCAGCAGGCGTCTGTATGTCGCAATCTCGGCCTCCAGCTTCATTTTGGTGTTCAGCAGGGCCTCGTAGTCCTGCGTCTGCAGCTGGATGTTGTTGCGCAGCTGTGTGAGCTCCGCCTCCAGGCCCAGGAGGATGGAGTTGAGGGACTCGATCTCCATGTTGTAGCGCATCTCCGTGTCCCTCAGCGTCCCTTCCAGGGAGGCTTTCTGTCGGGACGAGAAAAGGGTTAAAGTTTTCCGTCGTAGCGACAGGTCACTGGAGTGCGAAGCTCGTGTCAACAGAGCGAAGGCAAGCGAGCGACCTGAAGTGAGAGTGCTGAGCTGGACATTGTTGAGCCGAGGTAAATGAAGTATGTGCTGACTGCACGCTTCTCACCATGCTCTTCTGTGACTCCAGCTCAATCTCCAGGGTTTGGATCTGTCGGCGCAGATCCGTCAGCTCTGTGTGCGCACCCTTCAGGGCCTCTGTGTTCTGGCTCACCTGAGTCTGTACTTCTATTATCTGCACAGAAACAACAAGAGCGCTTCAGAAACGTCCGGATCGCGTTCAGAACACTGCACTTTCTTTCGTGGACGCTTACCTGAGATTCATGCCATGCTTTGAGCTCTTCCTGGTTCTTCTTTGCCATGGTCTCGTACTTGGCTCTGATTTCTGCCATGATCTGAGACAGGTCTTGACCTTTGGGAGCATCGACGTCTACGTGGACACCTGACCTGGAAATCTGTTCACGAAGTTCCACAACTTCCTGAAAGACAAACACAAACTGGGTTCAGGTACTGGCAAAGTTTAACTTTAGTTATTTTGCTCGCCACCATGTGTGTGCGCGTCTGTTTATTGCCAGAATTTTTCATGAACCACTAGACAAATGTAATGAAACTTGAAAAAAGTAACCATCCGACGTGCATGATTAGCTTTTGGAGCCAACCAAATTTAAGATGGCCGCCACAGCCACTTTAAGCAACACAGTTTTAGAGATTTTGATCTTGAGTTTGCTCGGTAGTAGCTGAGCCTGATTCACAACACAGCACTAACAGGTCTTTGTTTAACAATTTGCCCTTAACTATTTGGAGTCAACTCTGTCTGTCTGTTAGCAAAATATCTGAAGTCAGTCTAATTTAAGATGGCCACCATAGCTAATTGACTTTAACCAACACAAAAATGGCTATCAATGCAGTCAAGTTTATAAAAACTGACATCAAATTTGATGTGGTAGTAGCTGAGAGTCATTTACAACACATACTTTGAGCACGACATCGGGCTATATCACATAAAGCTTCAAATAACTTTATTTGTGAACCCCTCCGTTGACGAAAACGACTACAGCGCCATCGTTTCTCAACATAAGAGGACCTAAATCCAAACTCTGGCATGGAAAGAAATGGGCATTCTTTCCTTTCTATGGTTTAATTGCTTATGAAGACAGCCTATAAATCAGTTTTATTTTAAATAAATCAAGTTATTTTTTAATTATTCTGCCACAGAAGACAGATTTTATTGAGCTGTGACCCAGAAGTGACTCCAAGCCGTGACCGCACACTATGGTCAGGTAAATACACAAGGGGTTTATTTAAATTCCTATCTGGGTCCCTAAACATTTAATTTAGCATTTCCCTCAGTAAACAAATGGTTGCGTTTGGGCTTTATGCACTCAAATTACAATAATTTTATTTCTGTGGTGCAGCGCCGTTGCCAAAGGCAGAGTGACGAGTTTTACGATGAGGCTTCCCACAGAATAGACATAGAAATATTTTTAATTTCTTACGAGACGTACATGTGGAGCGTTCTCACGCCTGTTTTTAAAAACACACTGTCGTCTGGTCAACTCTGACTTGTGTAATTTACTCAAAGATGGGGATTACTATGATGAGCCAGTGTGCAAATATTTCAAAAGATCTCCAATGGGTGGAGATGTTTGCCAAAAACACGGCGTTGAGGTTAGCCAACCGTGCAGGGCGGCGGACGCCGTCAGGTTTTTATTGGTAAATGCGCTCAAACTCACATTGTCGTGGTCCTTCTTGAGGTGGATGAGCTCTTCTTTCAGGGTTTCGATCTCGCTCTCCAGGTTCATGCGGCTCAAGTTGGTGTCGTCGATGAGTTTCCTCAGGCCGACGATGTCAGCCTCGACGGACTGGTGGATGGCCAGCTCAGACTCGTATCTGCAAAACGACAAGTTAGGAGCTGACCACACTCAAAGGCTGGATTAACTCAGCCCAAAGTAAATCTACTCAGTGTTGCGTCTAATTCCAACAAAGTGCGAGTGAGCTTAAGAGTTATTGTTTGGTCGGCGCGCAACTAGCCAGCTGTGTTTGCCGACACGTTCGGAACACTTCTCGTGTCGCCACCGGCTATGATGCAAGGGCGATGAATAATGGCTACAAGACAAACGACTGCCTCCTCGGATCACGACAGGATTTATTCAGCCTGCAGCTCGGTCTGCAGTGAAGCTGGGTGTGCCCACGGCTGTCTGACTTTGTGTTTTACAGTCTCATTAGTGACGCAGGCGAGTCTTACTTTACTCTGAAGTCGTCGGCTGCCAGGCGAGCGTTGTCGATGTTCAGGATCAGTCGGGCATTGTCGATGGTGGCGTCAAAAATCTAGAGTGGATTGACAAAAAGAGAAGTGGGGTTTTAGATTTGACAGTTAATAAATGGGCCAGCATCAACAGAGAAGGTACAATACAAAACACACAATACATCATAGGTTGTCAAAGAGTAAGTGTTGATTTTTGTTGCTCTCCGCCACAAACAATGGGCAGTCGTGTATGTTTATCTGTCTGTTGGCAAAATCTGTCACAAACAAGTTGATGGTTTTTATTGAACCATTACAGCTCGGTCAATTTTACAGACATAAGTTCTGGTGTAGCTGAAGTGTAGACTCCAACGTGTGCTGTAGGCGCTAACAAATCATGAGCTTTATGTTGGAAACTTTGGCATTCCTGTTTAGAGTCTGCTCTATTCAAGATGGAAGCCACGGCTCATCAATGTTAGCCATCAGCAAAATAGTTCATCAATCAATTGGACCAATTTTGAGCTAAAATTTGACAAGATAGTAGCTGAGAGTCATTGCCAACACGTGCTTTGAGTCCTAACAGATCACGCTCGGCTTTTATTAAAAAAAAAGAGTCTGGCAATAGTTTTTGGAGTCAACTGGATTCAAGATGGCCGCCACTTGCAAACAAATCCGAGTCGAACTGTGTCAGTTGTGCAGATACTGAGCTGAAATTCAGTGCGTAGCTCAGATTCATCCCCAGCATTTACTTTGAGCGCTAACCGATCGTGCAAGGCTCTTCTTTTGAACTTTGACGTGCAAGGCAGCAGGCGATGCGAGCTCTTTCGAGGAATGATAACGGTTAAGTTTAGGAGTGCTTCTTGGAACTTTAATGCTTTAGCCAAGACAGCTCCTGGAAAATAAGCTGCTCTGCCAACTGGCTGCAGGTATAATACAGATTCTTATACAACAAACGTGGAAATTGTGTCTGTTTCCCGACTGCCTACTAGCTAGCTAGCAGCAGAAGCTACTTCCAGGAAAAGCTTGGCTAGGAAGCAGCTGCAGTACATTCATCTTACTAAAAGTGTATTTCCCAAACGGGTGCTTTCTTTTAAATAGCAACAGGATTATTGTCAGAGAATGAACGCCGTGGTCTAGATGCATACCCGAGGACGACACAGTGCCAGCATGGGGACAGTGTTTGTTTTAGCAGTCATGGTACAGTTGATAAGGTGGTTTGGATGTCAGGGAGGCATCCAGGTGACAAAGTCCAGGAGCCAATGAGCAGCTGCCAGGCAGCTGCTGGAAAACAGGATCTATCCTGTTAACATTTGCATCAGGAAGATGATGGTGGCTTTGTGACTGCGTGGGTGGTTGACTCTGTGTTGGCCTGTTTTAGCGTCAGCGTGAGAGTTTTTTTAAGATGAGGGCGACGTCGGAGCTTTTTTTTTTTTTTTAACGTCACGCCAAAGAGCAAAAAAGTGTTTTAACCTTGGTCTGTTTGGATAAAGACAAGCCCTCTGCTGAATAAGTCTGATTTCATCAAGTGTTTGTGCTTGTGTGTCATTATAAGAATGATAAGATCATGGGAAACAGCTGGTGAACTCCCTTTTGTAACTTACTTTCTTCTCATGTGACTTTGTTTCAAACGTTCTCACTAACCTTGATGTTTCTGTCACACAGAAAAAGATTTTAAAAAGACTCCACCCTGTCCACATTTCTCACGTTGAAATGAAAAACATAAACATTTCTGGACGCTGACCGACGTCTGAAGACAATAAATATTTAGGAATTTCTCTTTTTCTAAAAGGAAAATTAAGTTTTAATTTAAAAACTGCAGCTTTCTCTTTGGAAACTAAACAAGACAAAAGCTGTATTAATTAATGCATTCAACTGTAACTACTTTACTTTGAGTTCACAAATCATTTAGAGGTAAATCTACTTGTGAGTTACTGGTAAAACAGATAATAAATTATTATAAATGTACTTTTCCTTATTAGAAGTAATAAGTGCAAAGACTCCGTGTTTTGAGTCCTAACACCCCTGGAGGAAGAGGAAGTGATGGTTAGACTCTTAATTTATGGGTCTCCGTGTGGATCCCAGTTCCTGGAATTGCTTCATTTTTTTTTTTCCAGTCCCGGTGACCCCTGACGCTCCGACATTCCTCCTCCATACTGTTTCCGGTCCAGGCCTTGGACCCCCCGGCTCGCACAGTAGCAGCGGATACCGACAATCTGAAGCCTTTCTACTGAGCATAAGTTTAATTTTGAATATGTACGTTAAATAAAATAAGCAAGTGTTCATTCTCTGTGTTTTAGGTCAACACTTTCACAGCATCTCATTTCATCTTTCAGTTCTTCCCATCATTAACCTTCCTCCACCTCACATTCTTTGCGTTCAGCACTTATTAATTACTTCAACATTCCCCTGTCCCCCGTTCCTTACCTTCTTCCTCAGCTCATCCACAATGGCCTGGTATTTGCTGTAGTCTCTGAAGTCTGGTCCACTCTTCTGCAGGGCCTCCTTAATCTGGATCTCCAGCTTCTGGTTGGCCTTCTCCAGCTTCCTCACTGTCTCCAGGTAGCTGGCCAGCCGGTCGTTCAGGTTCTGCATGGCAAACTTCTCGTTGCCCATGATGTCTGCGCTGTTTCCGCTCACCTGGACGCTGCTGATCATGCCCCCTGCTCCCATCCCTGCTCCCATCCCGGCTCCCAGTGAGCTCCGGACGGTGGAGGAGACACTGACCCGGGAGCCACCGGCCCCGCCGTGGATAGACTGGGCCTTGTAGATGGGAGCAGAGGTGCGAGTGATGGACATGCCAGGAGTCCTGCTACTAGTAGAGGACCGCACAGAGTATGAAGTTTGCCTGGAGGTTTTCATGGTTGCTGTAGGGTGTGAGACTCAGACACACTGTGAGGAAGAGAACGAGGTTCGAGCCGGGCAGGAAGAAACTGCAGCTCACAGAAACAAGTCAGGAGGAGAGCGGAGGCACTTCTGACTATTTAAACTGGACCTACAGGTCCGCCCCTCAGAACACTCCCCCCATTTACCCAGTCACCTCCCTGTTTTCACCCACGTACACTTTGTCCTCCCTCCCTTCCTCTCTCCTGCCAAAGTTACAAAACTTTGTGGACGTTCAAAAAAAAAAATTTGGATGATTTTGTTAAGACTTTTAGAAGATAGAAACTTGGAACAGAAAACCTCAGGACCTTATTATGATTAACAACAAAACCTTTCGAGCTGCTCAAACCAGTTTCAGAACAAAAGTTGCTCCAGTCACAATCTGTGACTTTTTCACTTTGAGGTCAGACTTTTGTGTTTACACATGCTACAGATGAACAGTCAGTCATAATAATGGTTAGAAAACAAACAAAAATTGCATAATCGCCCACATGAGCTACTTCAGCCCACCTTAAAAATAGTCTCATTCAAACTTCACTTGTTTCTGCGTGCAGGAAGCATCGTCATGGATAGGTCATGTCTCACAGTTTATGTGATCAGAACACCTGGTTTGGACAAAACACATAATTACAACGACATAAAGTGCTCGTCGTCACCTGGTTTTTATTCACTTCTGTGCAGCAGTAAAATCTGTAACGTGGCTAAAATCATCTATTGCGTCTGTAAAACATAAAAGAAGTTCGTGAACGAATGGCTTTGGGTTCAGTTAGTATACTTGGACCAGAAACATCTTTTAAAAGTCTTCAGTTGATCCAAAATGCTGCTGCCAGAGTCTTAACTGGAGTTAGTGGGAGAGATCGCATCTCTCCAGTTTTAGCTTCTCTCCATTGGATCTCTGTCAAATTCAGAACTGAATTCAAAATCTTACTTCTAACAAAGCCCTCAACACCCTAGCTCCATCTCATATTACAGATTTTATTGGTCCATATTTTCCCAACAGAGCACTTCACTCTCAGACTGCAGGCTTACTCGTGGTTCCTAGAGTTTCCAAAAGCAGAATGGGAGGCAGATCTTCTAGTTATCAGGCTCCTCTCTTGTGGAACCAACTTCCAGTTTCTGTCCCTGAGGCTGACACATTGTCCAGTTTTATGATTGGGATTAAAACTTTCCTTTTTGATAAATCCTATAGCTAGGGTTGACTTGTTATGTTGCTATAGGCGTAGACTACTGGAGGACAAATTGACCACATTTCGTCCAATGAATAGTTACTAATGCATACAAATGAATAGTTCGCATTTGATATTATTTCGATCTTAACATATGATTCTCGAACTGCCATTGTGTATCTGTTCTTCTCAAACCCAGCCGGTCAAAGCAGATGGCCGCTTGTCCTGAGCCTGGTTCTGCTAAAGGTTTCTTCCTCATGAGGGAGTTTTTCCTTTCCACTGTCGCCTTCATGCGTGCTCAGGATGAGTCTGCTCCTCAGATAAATAATGTTAACTTACCTTTTATGTATGTGAATGTTTCTGTTCAGTGACCTGAGACGACTTCTGTTGTGACTTGGCGCTTTATAAATAAACTGAACTGAATCGGACAAGAAAAATGAACCCAGATGAGTGTTTTTGAAGGGTTTTATGGTTCTGATGTTCTGTACACTGTTTGTTATCTGTCCCGTGTAGCAGGATGTGTCTGATTGCTCCCCCCTAAAGGATATGGTCAAACAAAGGAAGACTTCCAGTCTACTTAGCAGAAACACAACAACAATGACTTTTAAGACCAGCAAACATATTTTAGGCCTCCCCTGCTGTTTTTTAACACAAGCACATTCCTCAGATTCACAGCCTCATACTTGGTTTGTACAAGGATTATAATCTTTTCTTTAATTTCTTGTTGGTTTTGTGTTGCTATAACCTTCCAATTAAATATGTGTTTCTCAGCATCTCTGTTTTTATGGCAGTTCTTGTAATATTTTCACAGTTAAATCAGTTTTCCACTGAAAAAGCAAAAGAGACTATTAAGCAAGATCGGTTTAGATTTGGAAACCGGAATGTGTTTCCATGGAAGGTCTGCTTTACTGGGATCAAATTGTTCTTGGAGAACAATTTACACGTAATGGTTTTACAGTTGAGTTCGGTCTCTGCTCCAAAGTGTTTTGTTTGTTTAACAAGAACGAGCGTGCAGCAGGATATTAAAGTCCTCCTGAAGAAACTCAAACAACTATTGTGCTGCTGTTGAGAATTAAACCAGAACTATTGAAGTGACTTCATGAGAGAAATCCTTCAAAATGTACTATAATATTGACACAATGCACCTAAAATGTTTAAAGGCTTATTATACTCACAAAGTGTAGCTTTAAAGAAACAGGGCTAAAAATCAAACATAAAACAAAACCGTAGGTCTTTTTTCTCAAAGGTAAGACAGGAAGCAGACGGAAACGATACGAGTCACGCCAACTTCTTTTACTTTTAAGCAGATTAAATTACTTTTAGGGGTATTTTGTCTGGTTCTCATGGCTGCCAAACCTCACGAAGGAAACAAAGATTAAATGACAGTACTGACAGTCATGTCATGATAAATGATGGAGAATAACATTTGATTTTATGGTTTTCTTTGGAAACCAAATAATTAAATGGTTATTTATTTATTATTTTTTTAGTTCGAGACCTGATGTCTACCAGACAGGCAAGCTTTTTAAATTCTACATGTAGCATCTACTACTTATAACAACCAAATCAAAGATTTAAAAAACTTCATTATTTGGCTTTATAGGCTCATTTTCTACCGGTATAGATGCCATACCAGTAGATGAACAGAGTGCGGTAACAGAGGAGGTATCTGCAGTATTTATTTATATATCGAGTTCCATTTATTTAAAGGTATAACAGGCCAAATTAACTTCTGCACAGATAAAACCCATGTATAGTTTAGCCCAGGCTAGAGTATACCTGGGGAGATAAACTGTTATAGACCAAACTGTACCCGGAGGTGTGTAGCCTGAGCCAGACTAAACCCCATCCAGGCCAGAATATTCATTCAACAATTATTTATATAGGTTAGTCACAATGAGCCTCGAGAACACATTTTCAAGAGAGATTATAATATACCCATCCATATACCCACTTACTGCATACCATCTTTATACCATATATACCCACCCATATACCCATATACTGCATACCCATCTTTATACCATATATACCCATCCATATCCCCGTGTATACCCATCTTTATGCCATATATACCCATCCATATACCCACATACTGTATACCCATCTTTATACCATATATACCCACCCATATACCCATATACTGTATACCCATCTTTATACCATATATACCCATCCATATCCCTGTGTATACCCATCCATATATCCATATATAACCATCCATTTACACTCGTGTAAATGCATCCCTATACCCTTATATACCCATCCATGTACCATACCTATGTATACCCATCCATATACCCATGTATACCCATCCATATATCCATATATTCATACATACCCATCCATATACC